TAAATTGGAAATTTGATTATTGATGAAATCCAAAAAAAATTTGTTGTTTTCATTTAAAATGATTCGGATCTATTGTGTTGATATTTTTTCTGGTTTTTGTTGGTTATTTTCGGGTTGTTGATGCGCGATAAAAAAAAATATCATCTCATCTTTTTTTTATACACAAAAAAAAACACTACACACGATAATGTTGTGAGAATTTTTTGTTTCTTTTTACAACAATGAACTTGATGGACGAATCCTATCGATAGTGATTGTTGTCAATAATTGGATATGTTTGCGCAATGTTTTTTAAATGATTGCTCATATCACCAAAACAATTCGTTCGAAGTTTGTTTTTTTTTCTTAATTTTCAAAATTGATCTTTATTTTTGTTTATAAACAGTAATTTTTAATAATATTTTTGATTATTAATATAAAATTTATTGACATTTTTCTTGTCCCCAATCAGGTCTTGTCGTTATAAACCGATGAATGGATACTTCAACAAACCATTTGGATAATGAAAATTTAGATGCTTATTTTGATGAGATTGATAAATATGAAAAAAAATCGAAAAAATCATCGAAATTGATCGATCAAAATGAATCATCAAATAAAATGCATATTCGACATGTAATATTATTCTATTTTCGAAAAGGTAAACGTATTGGAAGAACAACGGAAAAAATATGCGAAGTTTATGGCGATGGTGCCATCAGTACACGTACTGTTGGTAAATGGTTTAAACGTTTTAAAGCTGGTAAATTTAATCTAGAGGATCAGGAACGAAGTGGCCGTCCAATGTCAGCAGATGGTGAAAAACTGAAAGCTTTATTGTATGAAAATCCTAGATATTCAATAAGAGAACTAGGTATAATGTTAGGATTATCTAAAAGTACAGTTCATGAACATTTGACAAAATTCGGTTACGTTAATAGTCATGATGTTTGGGTGCCAAAAAATCTTGACAAAAAAATTATGGCTGATAGATTATCGATTTGTGATCAATTGATAAAACGAAATCATGTCGAACCATTTTTACATCGATTGATAGTTGGTGGTGAAAAATGGATTATATTCAATAATGCAGAATGTGGAACAAAAAAATCAAACGATCTTTTACCAAGAAATTCTAATTATTCAATAGATCATTCGAACAACAAAAAGATGATAAATTTTAACAAAATAAATGCAAATCGAAAAGCATTACTATCAGTATGGTGGGATTATAAAGGTTTACTTTATTGGGAATTAATGGAATATCAAGAGCAATTAACACCTGAACTTTATGGTGCACAATTAGATATTTTACGATATCATATACAACATAAACGTCCTGAATTATCATCAATAAATCAATCTGAAACAGATAATGATAATTACAATCATCAACCGATGACCATCATTTATCAACATGATAATGTTCGTGCACATAAATCTGAAATAACAATAGATAAAATAACAAAACAATTTGAATGGGAAATTTTATCACATCCATCATATTCACCTGATATATCACCATCAGATTATCATTTATTTCGTTCATTACAAACATCATTGTATGGAAAACAATTTCAAGAACTTCCACAGATTGATGAACATATACAAACATTTTTTAATAAACAAACAGAAAAATTCTGGCATGATGGTATTGCACAATTACCTGATCGTTGGAAAAAAGTAATCGAACTTGATGGTGCCTATGTTAAATGATAATGATAATGATGATGATGATTGGTAATAATAATATAATATAATGTAAAAAATGGAATAAAAATTTCAAGTAAACTTTACTTTACTTTATTGAAATTGTATTCTTTTTCGATTTTATTTCCTCTTATTTTTTATAATGATAAAAAAATTTTATAAATAAAATTCACCAGATTCATCAAGTTTGATTCGATAATTGAAATTCTTGATAATCAATTTACAATGATAAATTATAATCCTTCAATTAGAATTTAATCTAATGATAAAGACATCTATTTTATTTTTATTTTTGTTTCTTTTGTTAACTGAAAACATCATTTCAGATTGATCATTAGAGATTTCAATTATTGAATTGAATTGAATGAATTGTTTCTAAAAGAAAATAACAACAAGTTACAACATTCAAGATTTATATTGAGGAAAAAAGATGGACGATTTTTTTTTGTTATCAAATTATTTCTGGTTGAAATTACGTCAATTTTATAAGTTTGTTTAGAATTTAACAAAGTTAAATTTTTTAAATTTATCTTCTGAACATTTAGTTTTGGGAAAAATTTTTTTTGTTTAATCTTAGCAATAATATTAAAAACGTTATGATCTTGGAAAAATAAGTGATAATTATCCATTTAAATCATTCATAATTGAATTGATAATAAAAATAGATTTCGTAAATGAAAATAATCAACCGAATGATGATTATGGCCATTTTTAAATAATTTAAAAATTTCATCATTATCATCATCATCATGGATTTTTCATAATGAATGACAATGAATATGATGTGAGCGTGTGTTCACCATTATAATTTTTGGATTTATTTTCCTTTATCGACTAATTCGATTGTACTGAAAATAACGAAATCCGATCAATATTGTTTCAATGTTTTTTTTGTTTGTTTGTTTGGCTGTTTGTAAATCGATTGATCAATCGAATTAAATTGAAAAAGGTAATGTTTTGTTTGTTTGTTTGTTTTTTTGTTTAAAATAATAATCATTATCATCGTCGTTGTTGAAATCAAAGAGGAAATTCATTTTCACAGTTTTTTCCTTTACCTTTGGCATTTTTTTTCCAAATTTTTACCCTCAACATTTTCAAAACGGTTAATCATATTTTAATGAATCGTATTGAATTCAATTGTGAGTACATTTTCGACATTCACAAACCCTCAAACAACAAAAAAAAATAAGGAAAGTTTTTATTTTCTAGCTAATGATTAAAATGATTTTGTTTCTTTGTTTCAAAATTACATTTTTAAAAAATGATACAATAATAATCATTACTTTTTTCGGGTAATATCGATTTGTTTTTTTCAAAATTAGATTTGATATCATGACCTTGCGCACGCAAACAAACAAACAAACAAACAAATGGGAAAAACATTCGAATTCAAATGTATCATATCACAATCGATAGTTGATGGTGGTGATGACGATAATGTTGACATGATAAAAATGGCATCCTTTTTTCTGGATAAAAAAGTAATTTCTTTTTTCCTCTATCCTTTTCAGTGTTGTTGTCCATCGTATCGATAGTTGTTTTTTTAAATGATGATGCCAAAATGATTTGCAAAACAAAAGACAAAGAAAAAAAATCGTCTTTTCTTTATAATCATCGTATGTAAATGTTTGATCATTGTTAAATAATAATGTCTAATTTGAATATTCAAATTATCATGTATCTTAAATCGGCTGCTTGTTTTTATCGGTTGTCATTTTAATCAAAATATTCTTTTATCATCATCATCATCAAACATAAACGGTAAACACAAATTTTTTTTCCACACTACGTTCATTGACCATCATTATTTCGTTTTGATTATTGATTTCATTCAGTTTCAAACGAAAAAAATGAATGAATGAAATAAAGCCAATCGAACAATATTTTATTTGGAAAAAAATCAATAAAATAAATTTTATTTGAAAGAAGAAGAAGAAAAAAAAATTGTGTAATAATTTTGCAAAGGTAACAACAGGTGGGTCAAACAATGATGATGTTATATGATGCGAAACGAAATTGATACCAGAAAACGAATGAAATGAAAAAATAAAATAAAATTCATTTTGTATCTTGTAACGGGAAATATAATCGAGAAAAAAAAAGTGATTTAACGTTTGTAATTATGATTAATATAAGTGGAAATTATTTTCATTTGCTATCATTATTTTGGGCAACTACACAAAAAAAATTATATTCGTTATTTAATTATAATGATTGTGATCTATGGGAATTATATGAGAATTATCGGGTATGTATATTAGGTCAATCGATCTGAACAACAACAAAAAAAACGGGTTAACAAAGATTTTGTTAATGTTTTTCCTTTTGAAATGTTCATGCGAAAAAAAAAATATTTGTCATTTTGAACATGGCAGAAAAAAAATTATTAATTTTTTCCCCTTTAATTAAAAATTTCTAAGAATTTTGGAAAACTTTTCCGAAAAAGTAAATTAGAAAAAAAAATAGTAACAATTAAACTGTTGTGCAATCAATATCTGATATATTGATTGACAATAAATATCATTGGATAAAGTTAATAATTAATTCTGACGAAATTTTCAAATTTTTTGACATTCTCGACAAACATAAGAAAGAGTTATATGGAAGAAAAACTATGATGCTAATCTATAAATTGGTGGCCATTTTGGTGGATTGAAAAATTGACAAAAAATTTTTTCTAGAAAATTATTTTCATCAATATTGTTTTTGGCTAATTTCATATTCAAATCTGTTCATCGCATGAATGAACATTTGATGAATATTTAAATATTTTTTCTTTTAATAAAAGGAAAAACTTTTATTTTCACACTCTTATTCTCTCTCTTCATTCTCTTCTTATTTTTTTTTTTGGTTTTCTTTCTTCACCTCCTTCATGCTCCTCCTTTTTCTTCTAACATCATGTCAATGACAAATACATTGCCGTTAGCTAATTATTATCGATCTCTCCTTCGTATTTTCCGCATCCTCCATAGGATTTTTTGTTAAATTTCTTATTTCTTTGAAAAATCCTTTTTCGTTGTTGTTGTTGTTGTTCATAGAGTATTTTTGTATATTGAAAAACAAAAGTAACCAAAACAAACGAATCATTGGCTGTCATCATCATTATCATCATTGAAGGTTTTTTCAATAATGACATAAATACGATCGATCGAATAAGATTTGATTCGTTTAGTTGAAAATTTTTGGATTTTCATTTGAAAATGTGACTATTGATCATTGATCATCAATCAAGAATTATTTTTGATTATTTGATTTTTTTTCCAAAACAAAATATAAAAGATAATAAAAAAAATCAAATTTACGAACAATTTTTTCATTTGTTTTTCTTTGTGTGGTTTTCTTTAAAATTAACTTCTTTTTGACAAAAAACAAACAACAAAAAAAAATGATCAATCAACGATTATATCACTATACATATTATCTATGGGGATATTTTCTTGAACATCAAGATCCACGTACAAAAAATTATCCCCTCGTTTCATTATCACCATATTCGATTGCATTAATAATGTATTTTTATTATTTATTGGTAACAAAAATTGGTCGAAAATTTATGAAAAATCGTCAACCATTTCAATTACGCAAAACAATGTTTATTTATAATATTATTATGGTCATTATAAATGCATATTATTTTTATGAAGCAATTTCCTATTGTGATTATCTACGTGTATTTTTAAATTTTGATTATCCCGATAGTTCAGATCGATCACCGGAAACAATTCGGGTAAGTTTTAATTTTTTGTTTTGTAATTCCAAACAAACAGTAAATTTTTTTTCGGTGAAAACAATGATAAATTTCTTTAGATTTTGTTTTTGTTTTACTTTATGAATTTTTTGATTTTATGGAACAAAAAACAAACAAAAAAAAACATTTGAAGCATTCATGTCATGGTCATCGTGATGTGACTATGGCAAGTTTTAAAAAAAAAATATTATCATCGGAAAAAATCTTTTCAAAAAAAAAAATTCATTTTCTCTCATAATGAAACAACAACTTTATTGAAATTTAATTCATTTTTCATATTAAAAAGAAAGAAAAAAATTCAATTTCGTAATAATTGATCTGGAAAGAAAAAAAAAGAATAGCTCATTATCATCGATATTGAGAATATTTACAATCGATATGTGTTTATATATGATAAAAATCAATCTGATATTGAATTTTTTTTCTTTGTATTTTCTTTTTTTTTAAAAAAAGGCCATCAATTTAGGATGGTGGTATTGGATGTCTAAATTTGCCGATTGGTTTGATACATTTTTCTATGTATTACGTAAAAAACATGAACATATAAATTTTTTACATCTTTATCATCATATATCTGTACCAGTATTTGGTTATCTTTTAATAAAAATTAATCCAATGGTACCATCAGCACATATATTCATCATAATGAATACATTTGTACATTGTTGTATGTATTCATATTATGCATTGGCTGCACTTGGTCCAAAAATACAACGTTATCTTTGGTGGAAACGTTATATAACTGTTATGCAATTAGCACAATTTATTATTGGTATGATTTATGGTTTATTTGTTGTTAAATTTCAACGTGGATATCCATTCATTTGGATGATTATTGGCTTAACACAACCACCATTCTTTTTCTATATGTTTTATGGTTTTTATCGTCGAGCATATGATAATCGAACCAAATTAAATTCAATGAAAAATGCATCCGATAAACGTTATGAAAATAGCTCAACAATAATCAATGATAAATCAAAAGAAATTGAAAAATTTGATTAATTCAAACCATACATTTATTATTATTATTTTATTTTCTCCTGTTATTGTTCACAATCCGTTTTATTATTATTGTAATTTGTCAATGAATACAAATAAAAAAAATCTGAATTAAGATTAATTTAGACAAAAATAAAATCCGGATTCATCGTAATGATTTCGGTACCATTTGTAATGTTCATTATTGAATGTTTACATTGACAATGTCCATCAATATTGATTATTGATTGCTGTTGTTCATCATCGATTCGTGTCCAACGACCATTACATCCACTAAAATTAAATAACGACCATCGTGTTGGACGTCCTTTTATTCCATGACCATTACAACGATAACCAAGATGGCTACGCATGGCAGCATCCTGACAATGGACACAAACTTTTGTACCTTCTTGAAGTTTTGAATGAACATCAGCATTTAATGTTTCACAGCTTTTATGACTTTTGGTTACTTCAAATAGTACACAATATCTATTTATTTATTTTTTTTCATCAATAATAATTTGATGGCCAATTATGAAAATATATAGATCAAAATGGTAATAAAAAAAATAATAATCAATAAATAATCAATTAATGATTGACCTAAAAAAAGCGAATATTTGGATTAAATTAAATTAAATTGAAAAACTTACTCATTTACATTCTCTTTCAATGGATCTTTTGGATAATTTAGCCGTAAGTTACGTCGAATATCTTTATTTTCATCGATATTACGGGTGACTGAAAAACTTGATTGCAAAATGATGGCCATTTCTTTATCGGATTTTTTTTTTGTATTATTTATGATTTTTGGCCATTGTTTATTTGGATGTTAAACAAAAATTTATGATGATGATGATGAGAGTTATATCGATTATGATTTCAGAAAAACAAAAACGAAAGAGAAAAAGAATTATTCATTTGAATGTGTATTGATTCTTGTCTATAAATCATCGATTTTTTTTTTGTTTTGTTAAAAAAAATACATACCACGTAATAATTTTTCATCATCTCTAACTTTACAATGTTGACCATGACATGCACGACGTTGATTTAAATCCGGACATTCACGGCCACCATTTTGTGGATATGATAAAATATGTCGTGTACGATTCATTGTACCAACACCGCATTCAATATTACAATCAGACCATTGTTCCCAATCGCTTACGATACAATCTTGAACTGTCAAAAAAAAAACGAAAAGATTTTTTTACATAAGATCAGAAATTAGATGGGATAAAGAAGTTCATTACTTACCACCACATGTATCTTTATAATCTGGACAACAATCACCCAATGTAATACAGGCACTATCACAATAACATTCTTTTGTATTATCATTTCCATTATCATTTAAAGCTTGTCCCAATAAATTACCAATCAATGATATTGATTGTGTTCGAACCAATAATGGTGATTGTTGTTGCTGTTGTTGTTGATAATTTTGAACAATTGGAATTGAACATGATGAATCACGACCAGAACAACAAAGATTACGTTCACGACATGAACCAATATAACGTGGTTTCGGGCTATTTGGATCAATAATTCCACGTATTTGTGTTGTTGTTGTTGATTGTTGATGATTAATCATTGGATAACCAGCCTGATATAGTTGTGAATTTGGTTGTTGTTGTTGTGGCAGTTGCTGTTGTTTTTGTTGTTGAAATGGATAAGGATAAAATTGTGATTGTTGTTGTTGTTCCGATTGCAAAGATGGATGTGCATCGATCATTTGTAGTATATTCCAACATGATCCAATAATCATCAATAAGAATATTGAGTTTTTGCTGATAATCATGATTTTTTTTTTGGAAATTTTCTGTTCTCAATGATTCAATTCGAAAGAATTGCACTAGATATGATTTCTATGATGATGATACTTCGAATCCTACGACAATATCTTAACTAAAAACTGGGAAAATAAGAAATATCCAAAAAAAATATTCAAATGCAGTGTATATATACAAATCGTATACCGTTTTAACTAACAGCAGAAAAAAAAGTTGAAAAAACTTTCACTTACCATTATCATATCATGATGATGATGATATTCAACAACCTCAAAAAAAGTGAAAGAAATTCATCTCATAAAGTTTACGCCCAAAAGAAAAGAGAGCGATAAAGAAAAGGAAAAACCATAATCTTGTGATGATAATGATCAATGATGATATAAACGAACAAATCTTAACCATTCATATCATCATCATATTGAAAAAAATCAAAATGATTTGTCATTTTTGAAGAAACACCAACAACAAGAAAAAAATTAAAACAAAAACTTATTATTAAAACGGATAATGAATATTTATTTATATCTTTTTGGTTTTTGTCAAAGTTGGTGGAATTCATTTTCATTTCATTGAACCTAAAGAACTTGATGCGAACATAACGGTGGTGGTGTCGGTTATAATTTGATGATGAGCGCACACTCAAATGGAATTTTTTTTTTAAATTCGTTCGAAAAGGACAACGACATTTAATGATAATTTTGTAAAAGATTTCATCATAAATGGTTACTATTATTATCGATGATGATATTTTCGAGGTTTTAAAATTTGATGAATAAACAGAATATTCCTTCGACTTAAAATGAAAGAACAAAATTCATTGAACTTGAACTTCGTTATTATCATCAAAAAAAATGATGATGATGATACTGATGATGTGAAAGTTCATGTAAAAAAGGTCAAAAATATCATCATTTCATTGATTGTATAATTTGATGAAAATCAAAAGTAAAAAAAAATATATTAATACTCGAATAATGAACAAGATGGCGATACTGTTATTTATGAAAAAAAANGATCTCATAATGAACAACAACATAATGATGAATAATCATCATCATCATCCACTAAAAAATCAATTTTGACTGTTATTATTAATTAATTAATTAATTAAATCAATTAGAATAAATTAAATAAAAAATTTGGATCAATTTTTTTAATCAAAATGCTTGTGGCGATTCCATTATAATTCTATTGTCTGGGTATTGTACTCCATTATCTGGGTTTACAAAATTAACAGAATGATTTAACACTTTGCGCTCGGCGGCATTTTTCGAACAGCTGAGTCGCAGCTCGAGACGATTTTGCGCATTTATTACGTTTGCTTTGAGGTTCTATGAATTGAATTTAATATGTACATAAACTAACAAAATTTTTTATTTGTTTGATTTGAAATTCATCTTATTTTTTATATTTATCATGAGTATGATAATATCTAAAACATGTCCCCAGGTGTAATCGGGGTTTGTCTGGACAACTATCACAAAAATATGTTGTCTCGTGTCTTTTTCCAGACACACGATTAGAACATACAACACAGTCTTTTTTTTTTCCAGTTAACATAATATGGAGTTTTCCATTCATTCTAGTATCATTATGACTGGATAAATATCTATTTTTGTCATATCTAACAAAACTTCCTTTTAATTCGTCAACCAATGTTTTTATATATTGCAAATGAGATAATGATTCTTCGTTGTTTTTCTTTTTCACTTCTTTGTATAGAATGAATGAATTTATTATTGATATTTCCATGCCCCAAAAAAAAAGTTTTTTCCACCATTTTATGGATTTTCTCATAAAGCAATAAGTTGAGGCAAACTGGTTTGCTTTATCAACTCCACCCATATATTTGGAATAGTTTAGGATTGCATTTGGTTTTTTTATCATTGTCGAAACACCGTTACGAATGATTCGTTTCACGTTTTTCATTGATGGATTATACCGGTTAGTAAAAAGAGTTACTATTCTCTTATCTTTCCACGTTATAATCAGATTATTTTTTCTTCGATAAGATTTGATTGACACATTTTTGTTGAATTTGGGTTTTTTTATCTCAGGTGGTAATCCCTTTCTATTATTCATTATTGTTCCAGTTAAATGACAATTCAATTTATGTAACTCATCGGCTAGCACTAGGCTAGTATAATAGCGATCGGTAAAAAGATGATAACCACGTGCTTCTGGTATTTTTTTCAGCAACATGGTGCATAAATGTAATGGAATTCGCGTCGATACTGGTAAATCCGGTCTTATTAATGTTTGTGTAGTCAAAGAACCGTAGTATGGCAATATTTGGCATATATAACCGGTATTTGAATCAGCCAATGTGTATACTTTTATCCCCCACTTAGTTGGTTTTTGAGGATTATATGTGATGAATGAAATTCGTCCTTTGAATTTTACGATGGATTCATCGACGCATATTTGTTCAGAAGGAATAAAATAATCGATGAATTTTCCATTTATGTAATCAAGAAAACCACTAATTACTTCCGGACGTATTGTGTCTGGTTGAATTTTAGCATGTAACATCCAAAAAATTTGCATAAAGCGATCTCTTGTAAATGTATTAGGATAAAAAGGAATGAGACTATTCGGATTGGTGGACCAATAATCTTGTAGATTTGGCAATGGCATTGTTCCCATGTTTATAATAACAGCTAAGAAAGCCCAAAATTCGTCATTAGTTATATCATACCAAGATCGCCAAATGGAATGGGAAGACAACTTTTTATTATCTATTTTCTTTGCTGCATAATCGTTTGTATCGGCTATGATTTTCATCACCAACTCGTCCGTAAAGAATAATTTGAAAAATTCGATAGGTTGTTTGACAAATGCGGACACCTATGGCCCATATATGAAATAATGGTTATTACTAACAAATTCTATTCAATTCAATTTACCTGAGGTCCTGGTAATTTTTTTCCAGTATCAAATTTTATTATCGATGGTGTTTTTGAATTTTTATCACACTCAGACCATTCCACAGTATCAGATTCTTGATTTTCACTAATTTCACTATTATCATCATCATTATCAATATTATTTTCATTATCATCACAGATTTCGTCAATAAAAGTTTTTTTTACAGGAGCCTCGAAAGTGAATTCATCATCACTTGAACTAAGATCATAATTATCCATTTTCAATCGGATGAAAAAAAATTACCAAGATTATTATTTCAAACTTCCTTCAACATCGACATTCGGAAACATCATACAACAAAAATCATTCCACAAAAATCCAACCACAAAATTCGAGCAGTGGTTGAGGTTAATGATACAGTTTTGATATTTTGGTTTGGTGTCAAAACTCTCAACCACTGCTTGAATTTTGTGGTTGGATTTTTGTGGGGTGACATAGCAAAATCGCGCGCTTTGTCACCGCGTTGAATAATGTGGCGAGTGAGAGTCGCCGCTCGAGTTGCTGCGCAGAACGAAGTGGCGAGTGAGAGTCGCCGTTCGAGTGGAAAGGGTTAATACTCGAATAATGAACAAGATGGCGATACTGTTATTTATGAAAAAAAAAATGTAAGAGACGCCATGAAATTGTGTGCAAATAAAACAACAATAACAAAAAAGGATTTAAATGAAAAACAGTTAAATTTTCAAAATAAATATCAAATCAAATCATCATGATTAAATTGTAATGATTTTTGACTTTGATTATCACTTTGATCCGATCGTTGACTTTGACTGCCACCACTTTGGCTACTGCCAACACCAAGATCTGTCAATGAATTTGGCCCACTACTTGTTCCACTATTGATTTCGGGTGATGTTGATTTCATCAATAATTCCATCGCTATACCGTGCGCTGATCGTGAATTGTTTACATTATCGGATGATGATGATTGTTCAAAAACTTCAGCTTTACGTCGTTCATAAACACGTAATCGTAATGGAGATTTTGGACGATAAACCATTTCCATCATAGCGAATATTTTATCTCGTTCATCTAATGATACAAAACGAAAATATCTAAGAAGATAGGCAAGAACTACTTTCAATTCGGACATCGCAAAACGTTGGCCAATACAATTTCTTGGTCCGGCTGAAAATGGTACGAATGCAAATGGATGACGACCAGCAGCATTTTCCTGTAAAAAACGATCAGGATCAAATTTTTCCGGATCCGGGAATACATCTGGATCTCGATGTAACATGTAAATATAGACAAAAATAATTGTCCCTTTTGGAATATGATAACCATTTAATTTTAGATCTTCATGTGAACGACGACCAATAAATGGTACGGAAGGAAATAATCGTAAACCTTCTTTGATACAACATTCAAGATATTTAAGCGATTTAATTTTATCCAATGTTAATATAATATTATCATCATAATCATTCATCATTCCGTTTGTTGTTTCCGATGATGATGTTGAACGAAAATCATGTCCATTTTGATTGAATGAATTTGATTGTTGTTGTTGTTGTTCATTATAATCGATTATATCATCAAATACGGAATCAACTTCAGCGGCTGCTCGTGCCTGAATTTCTGGATGATGACCAAACATAAATAATATCCATGAAAGTGCCATAGCTGTTGTATCATGACCTTCAAACATAAATGTATCAACTTCTTCACGAATATCTTCTTCGGTCATTGTTTCACCATCTGAATTAATATGATGATCTAATAATAGATCAAGAAATGCTTTTCGACGATCTTTCTCTTCTTGTTCTATTTCAGCATCACCATTTGCATTTGGTCGATATCGAACAGTTTTATTGCTATTCAATAATTGTGCTTTACGATTACGAATAACTTTACGTGTAAATTCATGAAGTTTTATTAAATTTGTTGAAAATTTTTGACCCGATTCTGAACGATAATAAATTTGATCTGACCAATATTGTGGTTGCATTAAACGTTCAAGAAAACATTCACCAACTCTATATAATAATAATGATCATATCAATATTGAGTTGCCAAAAGTCAAAATTAAAATGAAACTTACTCGTTAACAGATTTACAATATTTATTATAAGTTGATTTTTGTGCATTAATCGATACTCCCATGATTGTTTCTGTAATATTTTTATCAAAATTATCATTAAATTAGTGGAGATTTAAAAAACAAAATACTTACCACAAATAATATCAAGTGTACATGCAGTAATAATTGGTACAATATCAATAACCGTACAATTTGTACATTTTTGTCGGGCAATCAATCTTAATCGTTCGATTAGAATTTTTGATTGTTCATTAAAAACCGGAACAAAATCGTGTAGAATTTTGAAATGAAATGCCGGTACCAACATTTTACGTCGGGTACGCCATTTCTGGCCAGCCGAAGTTAATAATCCAGTGCCTAACCATGGATGAAGAAATTTATATTGTGCTGATTTTTCAAGAATAAAATTATTTGATAAAATTTTTTCCACTGTATCCGGATGCCAAACAAATACTAATGGTTCCCATGAAATCCATATACGAAATAATTTTGTTTTTTGATAAACATTTGTATAGCCAGTTATTGATGACATTAGATCTTTATTTTAAAATAAATGATAAATTAATTTTTGTTGTTGCTGTAATTTGATTGAAAATAAACTTACTTATGATTACTAATTTATAATCGGTTAAATTAAACAATGAATTCCATAATAAATCATATGGAATATTTCCCAATATAATACTTGTACATTTTGGACCAGGTAATTGATTTACCTGTTGTAAACGTTTCCAATTTGTTTGAATTAATGGCCAATAATAGATGAACAATATTGATGTTAATAATAATGGTAATATTAAGATGATCAATGTAGTCCATGAAAAAATGATTAATGATGAAAATATCGATGTTATCGATAATATCGATGACCATATTATTGTTCCGATTGTTTCGATAATCATGATTTTTATTGTTGAATCATTGATTTTTTTCAAAACAAACAAAACCAACCACATACACAACAAACAACCACAAATGGATTGTCCAAGATATTAATTCATTTCATTCATTCATTTTTTTCAGATACAAAATATGAATTCATTGATTCGACGTTTGTCGTTAATGTAAATGTTGTCCAAAAGAAAAAATAATGAAAAAGAAAAAGATTGAACCATAAATAATATCCGGATAATGGCCTAAAAATAAGTTATGCACCAATGAATATTAATTTCATTCAAATAATTGCTTACGAATTTGAAAATGTAACACAACAAATTGAAACGGGAAACGTTATCGGAAATGTATGTCTACGTTTGTAAAATGTCTGTGATTTAAACAGAAATGCAACATTTTGAAGAAAAAAAATTCAAGGATAAATTCATTCAAACATTTTTCCTGTTGTTTATTTTTGTTTTTGTCTTATTCATTATTGTTGTTGTTCGTTTGGCAATAATATTTGTTGTTTGTTTTTATTTAAAATTTATATATTTACTCATTTTGTTATTTGTGTTTTATGTAAATATAAGAAAAGGAAAATGTAGTTTTTATTTTTGGATCGGAAATCTTCTGTTTCAGGAAAAAAAGGATGAACATTGTGTTTTTATATAGTTTGTTTCGTTGATTTTACAAGGATTATTTGGATAAAGATTTATCAAAAAATGATTGTTCATTATAAAACCAATGAAAAAATTCTTGAATCTTACTTTCATCATTCGAAAATAGATGATTGGAAGATAATGATGGAAAAATAACATTGATTGCAAATTTAATAAGTGCATCGTTCAATTCAACTAATTCATATTTTTGGATTAATGGTAAATATTTTGTTACTGTTAGTTGATTTAGTTCACGACCAAGAAAATTAATACAATATGTTTTTAATTGTTCATCTAAATGACAACGGGCAATATCGATTAGTTCACCAATATTATCGTTATTGATTGTAATGGAACCATCATGTAACATTTGTAAATAAGCATAGTATGTATCATATGAATATGCAACAATGTTAACTTGATCATTTTCAAGCCATTCACCCGAAAACATTTTATTAAAATATCCCGATACAAATTTCAAAAAAGATTTACAAGCAAATATTTGTTTGTCATCAATAACAAATTTTACATCATAATTTTCCGGATTATTAAATAGCCATTTAAATGTTGTTTTCGATTTTGTTTTTCCAATATTAAATTCAAAAGCATTTGTTTCAATCAATTTTTTACCAACGAAACATGACGATAATGGTAATTTTTTATGTGGTACATTCATTTTAATCGTTTACAAATTCGAGAGAAAAAAAAAGTTGTTCACAAAATATGATGAAATAAAGATGAGTAAAAAAAAAATCCTTTGTGTTTTCTATTCAATGAAAAGGAACAGGATATATATTCAAGCTTAAAACGTGTTCGAATGGGACCATTCATCGTGTATGTGTATGATGTGTGTTAATAACAATCTTTTGATTATTTTTTGCTGTTTTAATAAAATAAATGTTTGTCTATCTATGATTTATATAAATTTTGATTGTTTTAAATTATTCGAATTATCTCTACGTATAAATCGAATATTAACTGATGATTTTGGTCTTAAAATTAATGCTGCATTTATGGCAACATCACCAACATTATCACCAGATTCTATACGATATTTGGATAACAAAGTAGCTAACATAATTTTTTCTTCTTGTAAAGCAAATTTTTGTCCAATACAATTTCGTGGTCCAGCCGAAAATGGCACGAATGCAAATGGATTTATACGTCCACAATAATGTTCCGAACCTTCGATAAAACGATCAGGTATAAAACGTTCCGGTTGTTGAAAATATTTTGGATCTCTTTGAATGTAATATAAAAGCAATATAACTGGTACACCTTTTGGTATGATACAACCACGTTCAATTTCTGTATCTTCATGTGTATGGCGTGATGTGAATGGTACGGATGGATATAATCGTAATGATTCTTTTATACATGCTTCAAGAAATTTCATCTTACGCAATTGATTTGATGTCCAATTTGTATTGATTTGTTCATCATAAATATCATCATAATCATCAGATTGTTGTCGAATTTCATCAATCTCTTTGCGTACACGATCCTGAATATCTGGATAATTTCCCAATAAATGTAATGTCCAAATCAATGACATTGCCGTTGTATCATGTCCTTCAAACATAAATGTATCAACTTCTTCACGAATATCTGATTCAGTAAAATGATCCGAATCATTTAAATGTTGTTCAATCAATAGATCCATGAATGCTAAACGACGATTTCGACGTCTATCATTATCGTCATCATTATCATTACGGTCATTATCATTTGTTTCATTTCTGCTTTCAAGAATAACTTTTTTTCTTTCACGTATAACTTTCATTGTCAATTGATGAACCAAAGCAATATCTTCACGATTTTTACGGCCTTCGGCAAAAAAATTAAAGAATATAAAATCGATTTGAAGCCATGGAAATATGATACGTTTCATCAATGACGTTGATACTCTATATAGAAAATTATTATTGTTATTTTTTATACGAGGTAAAAGAAATTTCCAAAAAAATTACCTAGTTACTGCATCAACATATTCACGATTTTTATCCAATTGTGATTGAATTTTAACACCCATAGCTGTTTCGGAAATAACATCTAACGTAGCATTTGTTATCATTGGTACAATGTTTATAAATTTTTCACCAGCTTCATATTGTTTTTTCTGAATAACATCGGATAAAATTTTTGCCTGTTCATTCATAACCGTTAAAAATTGTTCCAAAATATTAAAATGAAATGTTGGTGTTAATAATTTTCTTCGATGACGCCATTTATTACCACCGCTTACTAAAAGACCTTCATTTAACCATGGTTTCATCATACGATAATGATGATCTTTGTCTAAAAATGTATGATTACTTGATAGAATTTTCTAATAGTAATTTTCAAATTAGATAGAAAAATGTATTCAGTTATTTTAAATTTTGAATAGAATGAAGTGTAACTAAGCAACAACAACAAAAATTTTTTGAAACATACTTCAGCACAATCGGCACGATGAACAACAATCAATGGTTTTATTGATAACCATAATCGAAAAGTACTATCAAATAATTTTACACCAGCTCCAAGAATTTCCAGATAAACTAAATCACAATCAAAAGAAAAATTTAAGTAATGTAAGAAATATAATTCTTAAATTTAACAAAATAATCAAAAAAAAAAAACGAAAAACTTACTTTCGAAAATTCTTTCGAAATTTAATATATCACGGCCAAGAATACTAAAATTGCCAAGAAAAAACAACGCTGGTATGGTTGGTATTCCGGGTATATTATTAATTTTTCGTATATTATCGATCCATTTTTTTGTGAAACGATATACAATCAATAAAAACCATATTAAAATGGATAAAATAATTCCATAACGAATTATAAACGATAAATAATTATTCGGAAGATAATAATTTAAATTAGACATAATTTATGTTTATAAGTTTTGTTTACAAAAAATTGTTTGATGCTGGATCAAAATGATTTTTGCTAATTTCATTAATTAAAATTTTGTTTTCTTTATATAATGATTTGATAGAGTGCGAAAATGAAAAAAAAATGAATATAATAAAATGAAGATTTTTTGATAAATTTTTTTTTGGCAAGCGAAAATCAAATTGCATTATGGTAATTTTTTGTTGTTGTTGTTGTTGTTCACTTTGAAACGTTTACAAATTTGTCACAAATAAGATATTTTTTATTCCATCGATAAATATAAATCAAATAAAGATAAACAATTGAAGAATAAATCATCATCATTTGATTAAATCATAAGGATAAAAAAAATTGAATGTGCCAATTATACATACACCATTAATCAAATAAACCAAGTTTGTAATAATATTGCATTTTCTTTTTTTTTTAGATCATATGATTAAATCAATATTGATTGAATTTGAAAATTCGTTATCAATATTGAAGTGTGAATAAACAAAATAAACAAAAAATGATGATATCATTTTGGACTTAAAGGTTCAATTTCAAAATCTTTGAAAACAACGATAAATTAATCAAATATATTAATATTGGGAAAAAAACAAATACAAAAATTTTTCAAGATAAATAATGTGAGAAATCAATATTTATCTTTATGATTTTATTTTATATAGAAAAAAAACCATTTGAATGATGATTAAAAAATGATTGATGTTGTTGTTTGAGTTTTACATTCGTTATTATCCGTTGTATTGTTTATTTGTGTTTGATTACCATCATTATTATCATCTTGATTATTATCATTGCTATCATATTATCATTATTATCATGCGTCCAGGACCACGTTAAAACCCTGATCGTTCAAACTCAAACAATTAGCTATATATGTAACATGAAAATCCATATGATTCCGTAATCATTTAAAATTTACACAGTTTAATAAAGAGATTTTAATCAGTTAAATAATAATTTTATTTATTCAATTGGAAAAAAATTTACAAAAATTTGAATCGAAAAAGAAGAAAAGTACAATGAAACAATACAAAAAAAAAATCATAGAAAAAAAGACACCCACTACTAATCAAGAAATTCATTAATATCAATATCAACATCGAAGTCACTCTTAACATCAAACAAAATGGATTCTAAAGTTTTTTTCAATACTTTGTATTGAATGTAAGCTTGTCCAATAGCCGAGACTCCCAATACAGCCAAATGTTTTTTAAAGAATTTTGTAACCAGAGCATCCCACGTGATCACCACTGGTACAGCTCTTATTTTCACGCCTTTATGCAATAATTTCAATTCATTACCCAGAAGATCATATTTTCGTCCCTTCGTTGTTTCAGATCAGTCAAATAATAATAGAAATAATACAAAAATAGCTTCTCCTTATATGGTACTATTCGATCATAGAACATTTTACGTTGCGCACGATAGTAAAATTTATTGGCAACAGCCTGAACTAGATTCGTAGTATAAAATGATGCATCAAGATCTAAACCTTTGACCGCTAGATCGGCATTTTTAACAATATCTTTTGCTTTCTTCATTGATAACAATTTATTGGTGAAAAATTGTGATAAGCGGTGTGATAAGCCGATGCCAATTCTCTAGCTGAAACTTTATTGACATCACTGTTACATACAGTCCAGGATGTCAATTTGTTGAAATTGCCAGAAGATTTTCTTGGTGTATTTTGCTTTCTTGGTGTTTCAATAAAGAAATCGGTAATTTGTTTGATAAATCAATAATAATATTGCAAACGGTACATTTTGCCTTATAATTGTCATCACAAGATTTAAATGATTTAAATTCTTTTTTAAGTTCGTCAATGAATTTGCATTTACGCTTGCCCATGTTTTGAAAAAATCATTTACTAATTATTAATATTAAAATGTAATATTAAGTTGACAAAATACCAGTAAATCCAATTATTTCGAAATTCGAGATATTAATGGGAAGTAATAATACTAAAAAAGGAAAACATGATCAGGTTATATATATAATTCACATATGAAAACAATTTATACTCTTTATTCAGCTTGTTTATACGTTGTTTTTCACACCAAACAGTTATTCGCAAGCATTTACCAATTTTATACAAGACAGCATTAAAAAAGTTATTTCATGAAGATCTTTCGCTAATTGCCATATTGGCTAATGTTTGTTGTTGTTTATTAAGAAAAAAAATTTAATTTTAATGGTGAAATTAGATACAATTTTTTTCATTTTATAAACAAAATATCTTTTCATAATAACGCAGTATTGAATGCAATGGTTGTTGATTCAGTCGATGAACAAAAACAAAGAGTTTTGATTATTTTTAACAATAATCATCATTTTTTTTGGCGTTCTATTTATTTAATTTGATGATATTGTCGTTTCCTTTGTTTTTTAAAAAACCAATATTAATATGAAATTTTATATTTTCTAATATTTTATTTAAATAATCAGTCAAATGTACGACGTATAAAACGAATGTTGACAGATGATTTTGGTCTTAATATTAATGCAGCATTTACAGGAATATTCCCTAAATTATCACCGGATTCAACAAGATATTTTGATAACAAAGTGGCTAACATAATTTTTTCTTCTTGTAAAGCGAATTTCTGTCCAATACAATTACGGGATCCGGCTGAAAATGGCACAAATGCGAATGGATTCATATGACCACAATAATGTTCAGAACCTTCAATAAAACGATCCGGTATGAAACGTTCCGGTTGTTGAAAATATTTTGGATCTCGTTGAATCATATAAAGTATCAATGCGACTGTTGTTCCTTTTGGTATGATACGATTCGGTTCAATTTCCGTATCTTGATGTGTGAAACGCATTATCACAGGTACTGATGGATATATGCGTAACGATTCTTTGATACATGCTTCAAGAAATTTCATTTGTCGTAATTCATTTTGACTCCAATTGAACATTGTTTGATTATCATTATTATCATATGATTGTTGACGAATTTCATCGATCTCTTTATGAACACGATTTTGAATATCCGGGTGATTACCAAGTAAGTGTAATGTCCAAATCAAAGACATTGCTGTTGTATCATGACCTTCAAACATGAATGTATCAACTTCTTCACGGATATCTAATTCAGTAAAATGAATTGGATCTTTCATATGTTGTTCTATCAATAGATCCATAAACGCTAAACGGCGACCATATTCGTTGATATTTGAATCATGGTTCTGTTCTTTTCGTTTAAGAATCTCGCTTTTACGTTGTTTGATCACATTCATCGTGAATTGATGAACTAAATTAATATCTTGACGATGTTTACGTCCTTCAGCAAATAAATTGAAATATATTTTGTTGTATTGAAGCCAAGGCAATAATATACGTTTCACAATCGTGGCTGAAACTCTATTCAATATATTTAATCAAACGAATGAAATGCTAAGAATTTCTAACCTTGTAACTGCATCGACATAATCACTACTTTTGCCAAGTTGTGATCCAATTTTTACTCCCATTGCTGTTTCAGAAATGACATCTAAAGTAGCATTCGTTATCAATGGGACGACATCAATATAATTGTCATCTGCCATTTTCTGTCGATCTTGAATTACTTGAGATAAAATATTAGCTTGTTCATTCATTATCGGCAAAAATTGTTCCAAAATGTTAAAATGGAATGCTGGTGTTAGCATTTTTCTACGGGCACGCCATTTATTAGAGGCACTGGTCAAAAGACCTTCATTCAACCATGGTTTAAGCATATCATAAAATTTATCTTTATCCAAAAAAACATTATTATTGGATAATATTTTCTAGATGGGAAAAAAATTATTATAATTAAACAATGCAATGAGAATAACACTTTGATAATAAAATAAAATTAGAAGCATAATCATTTGATTGCGATTACCCCCAAAAAAAACTTACTTCAGCAATATCTGCACGACTAACGAGCATTGTCGGAGCGATTGAAAGCCAAATACGAGTTGTATTGTCAAAAATTTTTGTCATTCCATTAATTAATTGAAAATAATCTGTTTATAACTTAAATTATCAAATTATCTTAAAAATATAAAAAGAAAAAAATTCACCATTAATGATCGTTTCTTTTGTCCAATTTTCGATGAATAAAATATTTAAATTTCCCAATAAAATTCTCAATAATGGAACATCAATTCCGGGAAATTTATCAATCATTGATTTTGATTGAAACCATTGATGAATATATTTTATTGATCGAAACAATAAAAATAAAATTATTATTGAAATGATTCCATAACGTATAAATATGAAAATAATTTGTTGAAAAAATAAAACACCATTCCATTCACTAATTATTGTGGCCATCATTGTTGCTTCAAACATCAAACAAATATGATTATTAAAATTTTTTATTCATTTTATATATCAAATTAATCAATCAATCAATTTTTTTCATTTATTTTTTTGCCTTGAATTTTTTTTTTGTGTGGTAAATTTTGGTTGATTGAGCTTTATCAGGACTTTTTTTCCTGTGTAATATCTATGCTAATAAAAAAAATATTTACGTTGCAGTTTGTTTATTTCGTTGATATTTGGCCAAATTATCCGTTATTTAAAATGAATGTATTAAAAAAATATATCAAATTGTCCTATTTCGTATTGAGATTTTTTTTCATTGACACAGATCTTTGATTTATTTATTTATTTTTTTGATTATTATATACACGTTTGAAATCACCGAAATTTATCCATCAAAAATATTAAGATTTTGATTTATTTATTTCGAAAATTAAGATTGATTTACTTAAAAAAAAACATTCATGATATTTATCATTGTTTTTAGTTTCGATAATCAATACTATTCAAATTTAAATAATCAACTAACCACTGCATCACGTGGTATGAAACGAATATTGACGGATGATTTTGGTCGTAAAATTAATGCTGGGTTTACGGCAACATCCCCAACATTGTCACCGGATTCAACAAGATATTTGGATAACAAAGTGGCTAATACGGTTTTTTCTTCTTGCAAAGCAAATTTTTGTCCAATACAATTTCGTGGTCCGGCTGAAAATGGCACAAATGCGAATGGATTCATATGGCCACAATAATGTTCAGAACCTTCAATAAAACGATCAGGTATGAAACGTTCAGGTTGTTGAAAATATTTTGGATCTCGTTGAATCATATAAAGCACCAATGAGATCGATGTTCCTTTTGGTATAATAAGATTCGGTTCAATCTCCGTATCTTGGTGTGGGTAACGTGATATCACAGGTACTGATGGATATATTCGTAACGCTTCTTTGATACAGACTTCCAAAAATTTCATTCGTCGCAATTCATTTTGACTCCAATTGGACATTGTTCTATCATCATTATAATCATCAGAATGTTGACGAATTTCATCGATCTCTTTATGAACTCGATCTTGAATATCAGGGTGATTACCAAGTAAGTGTAATGTCCAAATCAAAGACATTGCCGTGGTATCATGACCTTCAAACATGAATGTATCAACTTCTTCACGGATATCTAATTCAGTAAAATGAATCGGATCTTTCAGATGTTGTTCTATCAATAGATCCATAAACGCTAAACGGCGACCATATTCGTTGATATTTGAATCAAGGTTCTGTTTTTTCTGTTCAAGAATCTCGCTTTTACGTTGTTTGATCACATTCATCGTGAATTGATGAAGTAAATTTATATCTTGACGATGTTTACGTCCATCGGCAAATAAATTGAAATATATTTTGTTGTATTGAAGCCATGGCAGCATCATACGTTTCATAGCCGTAGCTAAAACTCTGTTTCATAAATTTAATTATACGAATGAAATGAAAAAAATTTCTAACCTTGTAACTGCATCGACGTAATCACCATTTTTTCCAAGTTGTGATTCAATTTTTACTCCCATTGCCGTTTCAGAAATGATATCCAAAGTAGCATTTGTTATCAAAGGTACGATATTAATATAATCGTTTCCCATTCTTTTCTGACGATCATGAATCACTTGAGATAAAATATTAGCTTGTTCATTCATTATGGGCAAGAATTGTTCCAGAATGTTGAAATGGAAGGCTGGTGTTAGCATTTTTCGTCGTGAACGCCATTTAGTAGATGCACTGGTCAGGAGACCTTGATTTAGCCATGGCTTAAGCATATCATAAAAATTGTCTTTATCCAGAAAAATATCATTACTGGATAATATTTTCTAGCCAGAATAAATTCAAATTTTTTAAACAACAATTACTTTATTTCAATTTCCAAAAAAAACCTACTTCAGCAATATCTGCTTTAGTAACAATAATAGCCGGAATAATTGAAAGCCATAAACGAGTTGTATTGTCAAAAATTTTTGACATTCCATTAACTAATTGAAAAAAACCTGTTTATAACCAAAAAAAAGGTTATCAAGAAAATATAAAAAGAAAAAATTCACCATTGACGATTGCTTCAGTTGACCAATTTTCATTGGTTAAAATATTCAAATTTCCCAATAAAATTCTCAATAATGGAACATCAATTCCCGGAAATTTATCAATCATTAATTTAATTCTTAACCATTGTCGACAAAGTTTTATAATTCGAAGCAATAGAAATGAAATGATTATGGAAATGATTGCATAACGTATAAATATGAAGATATTTTGTTGAAAAAATAAAACATTCCATTCACTCATTATTGTATCCATCATTAACGCTTCAAACATTGAACAAACATCATTTTTATAAAATTTTCATTCATTTTATATATCAAATCAATCAATCAATCAATCCTTTGATTAATATTATTTTGTTTCATTCTAAGTCCATTATCTGTTCTTTATTGATTTATTCAAATGTCAGGAAAAAAAATTAAATCAGGTACATCATATCATGTTATTTACATTTGATTTATATCAATTTTGATTTAGTTTTATCATCACTTTTTTGTCGTTTTAACGTTTATGAGATAACCGAAATTTATTCATCAAACATATTATACATGCGACCTTAATCAATAATCGATAATTATTATTGATTATTAATCAATATTTTAGGTTACTTTTTTTTATCAATGCAACTGCATTAGAAATGCAAGGTCGAGTGAAAAATGATCAAATTCATTTTTTTTTTTTTTTTTTGTAATTTTGTTTTTGTTTTTTTTTTGTCGATTCCATTCAATTGTCATGGTTTCCACGAATTATTTTTTTTTTCCTTTTTTTTGATCAAAATTATTGCGAAAATTTTGAATTAACTTGCCATAGACGAATTATGTAATTAATGATTGATTGTCCTTTATTGACTATCAGAAATTTAAATTTCATTAAAAAAATTGATATTTTTCCGAAAATAACTGTATTGATTATAATTTTTGCTGAAAAAAAACTTTACCGTAATCGAATCGATGGTATCGTTTTTTTTGTTCGTTACCATAGTTGTAATGTTTGATCAAAAATAAAAATCATTCAAACATTTTTCATTCTATCAGTTTTGTCCATGCAATGTATCGAAAATTGATTCGAAATGTTTTTAAATACTGGAAAGAATTATCATTTCCATTCGGAATTGATATTTTTTTTAGTTTTTATAATATGATTCGACCAATGATTATGATTCAGCCGATAGAATATATAAAAATTTATTGTCATCATTATATTCTTTTTCTTGACCGTTCTATACGATACAATGAATTCGATCATCAAATACGAAAACCAATACAAGCAATCCATTTGTTGATGATTATTTGGGGATCAAAATGTCTTTATTATTCCATTTATAGTGGTGATAGAGATA